TCAAGCAAATGTTTCCTTCCATTTTCCACAACTATTCAGGTGAATAAATTATGATGTCGTGAGTGTTTTTATTTCAGTAATCAAAGAGATTAATTTATTTTGATGATTCTGACAATTGAATAAAAATTTAAAATATTACATTTAACAGTTTGAGGATTTCGCTGTTGAACGTAACTACAAATTGTTAGCAGAATTTATTTTTTCTCTAAATGCTTGTGCACTAAAAGTAAACATTTTTTAAGGAATCTTGAAATCAAGCAAATTTTTGGTTTTATATTTGCTGCTGGTCTGCAGACAACAGCAGCAAAGCTGCAGCTCCCCCTGCTGGAACTGAAGCGCCACATACATTTTTCCTCCTCATTTTATTATTTTTCTATTTAATTTATAAATCATTCTTTCATTTAGTTTTTCTGTTGAATCAAAAACATGCAGCATCTCTCCACTCAGGTCAATATTTTTACTAGCAATATATGAAAAATAAGCAATAAGTTGTAAGAAAAATAAATAAATCAGTAAACATCTCCTGTGAAACATTCAATAAATTATGAATATTTCCCATTTTTTGGATGCATAAACTATTTAAACCTAAATTAGGATCAAAACATGAAATTCCAGATTCTTCTTCGTTGGTAGTTAAGGAAACAAGATTTTAAATTTGAATACTTCTGAATATAAAATGTACATTTAAATTAATTTGCACTTTCTCTATAACAAACGTCCAACAGCACGAGTCACTTTGTTCCATTAAGATTTTCATTTGTATGCAAAATAATCCAAATTAACACCAAACTTTATACAAGTAAAGATTCAAAACTCGCATAATTCCACCAAACTCTTCTGTCCTGTGCTAAAAGACAAAACACAAATTCAGATATCTGGGTTTTATTTGCTGCTTTTGGTTTATTGTTGTGCTTAATTTTGCTCAATTTCGACCCAGTCAGTTTATGAAACATAATTTAAAATGCCCTTAACAAACAGCTAAGTGATGTAATCGTCATTACCTGCAGGAACTTTGCATAATCTCAGATTAAAAACAGCCAGATTAAGTTTATCTCATTGTGACTGAATTAAACATTGTCCAAACATAGATGTATTCTCTGCTGTGCTAGTTTTAGCTAAGCTATAAAGCCAAGTTGGCTTAGCTTCACCTAGCATGCTAGCAAACAGCTAACCAGTTACCTAATCAGCTTATTGTGTTTCTATTTATTTTACAGATTGGCCATTGAAACTTTAAATTTCAAAAAATAAAGCATAAATACAGCTTCAGTGGGCCACCATGCAGATGATGTTCTGCTAATTCAAACCACAGAAGTACAGGTGAGCTATGTTAGCATGTAGCAGCTCGCTAACTGCAAGAGAGACACGTTTTGTTTGCAGGATTTTATTGTTCAGTTATTCTTGAACTGAAAATCCTGAGTTTGAAGGATGTTGGGTGTACATAAATATAACTTTGTGCCTGTTTTATAAATGAAAAATAATGTTGCTGCTAGCATTTTTAGCGGCAGCATTCAGGCAGTTCAGTTTGTGTTTCTAAATAAATCCAGTTGGTGTTTGATGCTGTTGGCTTTTATATCCGTGGAAGTTAACAATCCAGACATTTTAAGGTAACTTTTGCAGTTTGATGTTCTGAAAATAAAACAAATTAATTAGATGAGCTTTGATAAGACAGTATTGATCGGTAACTGCCGGGACGCCGGCCACATTTCCCTCCTTTTTCTGTCCAACTCCGGCCAACAGAATAAATACAAAATTGCATCGCAAATAATTTCTGACACTTGGAATACACAACCCACCAAATGATGCATTCCAACTAGTTCATTATGATATTAATATTGCACAAAGCGACAATATCTCCCCGATGAACTGCGGCGCCTAAATGCTGAGTGGATTTTTTCTGCTTGTTTTATTTGTTAATGGATCTGACTGAACCCACTGGGGTGACAAAATGCACTTGGATTTATTTTTGATTGACTTTTGCTTTTAACGGCTGGGAGCTTACAGGAAAAATCATAAATCAATTTTTCTTCTTTATTGGTTCTGTGAGGCTACATAATTAGAGTTATCAGATTTTCTGCTGCATTTCTCCAAAATTTCTTACTAAGTTTCAAACTTTGGGCCAAAGGTGTCCAAAATATGTTGTTCTACTTTTTTAACAAAAAGCCAAGCATGCAATACTTCAACTAAAATGTGCTGTTTTCAGATTTGTTGTTAGAAAAGCAGAAATTAAAATATTATAGATGAAAAATTTTTTTAAAAGAGTTCTGCAAGTTCAGTTTATTAAAAGTAATTTTGCAGTTTAGTCCATCAGTAAAATCAGGTTGTTTTTTTTAATGCTTGCTGTGATCAGCCAACTTTATGAAATTGATTAAGTCACTTCGAGAAAATGGAAAAAGTGTAATTATTCAGAAATAAATTGTGATATTTTCAATATTTTCTACTGTAGAAAGATTTTCATCTGTGATAATTTTGTCCTGATAAAAATATAAGGTCTCCATTCTCTGGGGCCCCAGTTTGTATAATTCTTGAACTGAAGTCGGGGGCCGCAAATGTTCAGCCCCAGGGCCACAAATGGCCCCCGAACCAAACGTTGGACACCTATGTCTTTGTTAGCATTTTCTCTTTCTGATCATTCAGGTTGGGTTTTACTGCCAGATGTGAAAGTTTGTGTGAAAACTTTCCACTTATGCAGAATTAATTTTATTAGATGCAAATTAAAGCATCAAATTTTTCAGAAACAAAAGTTTCTAGTTTACATCGTCGTTTGACTTGATTATTGCTCCACTTCCTCAAACTTTTCACTTTTTTTTTTTTTACTAATTAATCCGATCATTTTGATCGGAAATGAAAAGTCAACTGAGTTTCAAATGTTTTTCTTAAAAATAATGACATTTTAACCGCAACTGAATGTCAAACATCTGAATTTGCCACTTGTTGTTTTCTGTGAACAAACTCAAACATTTTATCTGCTCATTTTTACTAATCATTATTTATTTTATGTTGTTTATAAGGACAGTTTTTTTAGTTTACTGAAACTGCAAAATCATCTTTTGTTATCAGGGTATAAATTTAACTACATCACATTGTATGTTTTATTACTATCTAAGGCAATAAAGGAAAAAACAAGTGATTTCTGTTCAAGTGGGTTTATTTGTCTTTTGGAATAAAGAAAAGCTTCGTTCACTGGGATCTGAACAGAGAATAAGTTTTTATTTGTCATATTTTATTAGGTTTGTTGTGAATCAAACTGGATTTTATTAAAAATAGTCACTGAGTTTCTGCATCTTTGTAGTTCCGGTTCCCGCCAGTAGATGGCACTGCAGGCGCTCACTGAAACGTGCAGCAGAGGAGTCTGGGTAAAACCTGCAGCGCACACACTGCTTGGCTGGTTTGTGTTTGTCAGGATTATGTTTTTTTGTCCCCTGTTGGTAAAATGACTGGAAGGAGAATCAAGATGCTTGTTTTGATTTAATATTTAAAGCTTCAGCTCCGAGTTCGGCTTCAGAAAACAAGCTGAGAGAAAAAACGGTTTTGTGTTTCTGAAGGTAGTTTTACTCAAATAAACGCTAAAACTGTGAATAAAATAAAACAAGAAATAAAACATTCGGTTAAGAGGTCATTTCAGCAAACAGCTTTAAATGATGTCATGAGGTTGCTATGGAAACAGAGTTGGCAAACTGGAATATCCATCCATCATCCATCAGTTCATCCATCCATCAGTCCATCCATCCATCCATCCATCCATCATCCATCAGTTCATCCATCCATCCATCCATCCATCCATCATCCATCAGTTCATCCATCCATCCATCCATCATCCATCAGTTCATCCATCCATCAGTTCATCCATCAGTTCATCCATCAGTTCATCCATCAGTTCATCCATCAGTTCATCCATCCATCCATCAGTTCATCCATCCATCCATCCATCCATCAGTTCATCCATCAGTTCATCCATCCATCCATCAGTTCATCCATCAGTTCATCCATCCATCAGTTCATCCATCCATCAGTTCATCCATCAGTTCATCCATCAGTTCATCCATCCATCAGTTCATCCATCCATCAGTTCATCCATCCATCAGTTCATCCATCAGTTCATCCATCAGTTCATCCATCCATCAGTTCATCCATCAGTTCATCCATCAGTTCATCCATCCATCCATCAGTTCATCCATCCATCAGTTCATCCATCCATCAGTTCATCCATCCATCCAGTCACCAGCAACCTACAAAAATTTTCAAAAGTTTTGTGATTTTTTCTTGACAGTTTTATCCATTAATTAATATAATTGATTAATCATGTAGATCCATTGATCAGTAGGTTGCCAACCAGTTTGCAAAATCGATTAAAGTTGATTTGTGGAAAATGAATAATTTTCAACACTAAACAGGTTTTGGTTACTTTTACTGTATTTTCCATCAGCCGAAACTGAATCTAACTGTAGACAGAAAAAAGTTTCTGCCAGAAAATCTGACATTTTAAGATCCATCTCAAATATTTTGAAATTAAAAACAGGAAGATTTAGGAGTTTAAAAAATAAAACTTTCAGAGACGTTTTGGCAGAAATTTCCTTCTGCTGTTTTTCTTGCTCTAAAATTTGCTGTTGTCGTTTTCAGCCAGTTTAATAAATGATTTGAAAGCGGATTTTGGTGCAAATGGCTCCCAGGAATCCTCGTTAGCTCATAACGGGCCCCTCGCTGGCAGCTCTGCATCCACTGTTGCATTTTTCAAAAGCTTCTGTCGTTCGGGTTCCGGACATATTTAAACAAAAACCTGCAGCCCGAACTGGGAGCTCTCCTGTGTGAAAAAGAGAACCAGGAAGACGATGTCCAACCCGAAAGACGAGCTCTTCAAGCTGCTGCTCCTCCCCAGAGGAGGACGAGCCGGGCGGCGATGGCGCCGCCTCGCCCAGGAGCAACCTGCGCCTGCAGGCTGGCGCACGGGAGACCGGCTTCAAACTGCCAACCAAAACCCGGCGCCCGCCGAACTGGGCCCGGTCTCAACAACTGGGTCACTAGCAGACCGAGCTCGTCCAGGAAAACGGCTTCTGGCCGAACAAGACGCGAGTAAGTAAGTACCTGCGGGAGCGCCGGGCCGCCGTGGTTAGAATGTGGCCTAATCAAATCCGCTTGGTTTCCAGAAGCTGCCAGGAGGCCGACGACGGCGGCGATCTACCCGACCGGCCGCTTGCCTCGGAGCTTCATCCTGAGCAAATCCATCCGCCAAGCCTTCAAGCTCTGACGCCTCAGGAAATAAAACTGCTTGGATCCAAACATTTCAGGCTGGTTGTGTTGAAACGTAGCAGAGAAGCTTTACAAATCTGAGGCTCGGGGGCCAACGCAGGCCGCGCAGCGGAGTTTCTGCGGCCGTGAACAAAACTAATTTGTCCCGTCAGCAAAGGAGGATGAAGCAGAGGGAGAATTATTTTCTTCAATTTTAGAACGAAGGTATGGGCTAAAAATTAAAATCTTTGCATAAATGTTAGTTATTAGGACATGATAGTAAACTAAGAAATGTTTTATTATAAATCATAACATTACATGAATGAAGTCATACTGGAAGAAAGTCAAATAATATGAGAATAAAGTTATAAAATTATCAGAATAAAATAATAACATTACATGTATTTTATATTCTCTTAAGATTAGAATAACGTCAAAAATAAATAAAGTAAAATTTTGGAGAAAAAGTCAATTGAAACTAGTCAATATAGTGAATCAAAGATTTAAGAACTTTATGAAACAAAGTAATTTTACATTTATCTGCTTTTAAATACATAAAGTGTTTTCAAATAGAGGAGACCTGATTTATGTTTTTATTTCTAAGAATTGATTAAATCTTCAATTTTATTCAATCAAATCCAAAATAGATGAAGTTTAGTAACTACAATGATTTCCACATTTCTACATTTTATTTGTTTAAAGTATTTCATGGTTGGTTTATTGAATATCAATGAACCTTTTGGTATTTTAAACCCTCCGAAGAAACCAAACGTCTTCATACCAGCGTTTCTGTGTGAGATGCAGAGCCGGTGCCGCTGGTCCAGTTCTGATGCGTGTTTGCTCTCTGCCAGCTCGGATCCATCTCGTTAAGCAGTCACACCTCCCAGAAGGCCGCGCTCTGCCCGCTCGCTGTTTGCCCGATAATTAGAGCCGCAGGCCCGGATGAAGCCGACTTTGTTTTTTACAGCCTGGCTGTCCCGCTGCGCTGATCTGATCGGACTTAACAGAACCTGTCAGCTCCAGACACAACAGGAAGCAATTCGGTGATCAACAGGAATCTGCTTCTTCAGACACATTCCTGCAGGAAATTACGCTTTTTGAACCAAAACTCTTACAACTGGAAGTAAGATTACGCAGACGACGCTGAGCTTTACGTCTGAGAACTGAAACAAAACTGAAGTTTTTATCTTTGGACCCAAAGATCTAGAGTTAGCGAACAGATTCAGTTACTACAGCGAGAAAGTAGAGATCACTGACTCCATGGTTACTGTACCATTAATGCAGAAATGTGGGTTTAATGAAAATGTATTTAAAACCTGTTTAAAGGTTGTTTCCAAAGGTGTTTTTAATCCAACAGAAACTGAACAGATGCGTTCACTCGGAGGCTGAATTACGCCCAGGTGGACCAATCAGGCGCCTAATGAGGGAGGAAATCCCATCGCTTCTTGATTTCATACCTGCCTCTGTTGTTTCACCTTCACCATCCTGGTTCTCCTTTTCTCTGGTAAATATTTCTGCAGCTCTTCGTCTTCATTATTGCTCAGCTGCCAGTGGGATTTCTATCCTCTTCTTCCTTAAATTGATGCAAAACGAAGCTAAATTCACTGCATGAACGGGAGGAAATTGTCTGGAAATCAGAAGCAAATCAAGGTCAAAGTTCACTGTTATGATTCAGAACTTTACAGCAGTTCGGAATGTCACTGTTTAATTTTATAACTAATTTGAATCAAAAATAAAACATTTTGCTGAGCATCACCTGTACCTAAACACACATTGCCATGGAGACCGCCTCCTGGTTTCCTGTTGCCCTCAGGCAAAATATTCACTTCATCATTACAGTGTTTTATTGCTTCTGGGCTACAGTTACAATTTTAGAAAGTTAATCTGCAAAAAAAAATGTGAATTTGCAGTTTAGTTGCTCTGTATTTCCTTGTAATAGATGATGCTCTCGTTTAGCTCTCTGCCTCTTAAATTCAGTTTATTATTCAGATTAGTTTGAAAAAGTCTCAAACTAACTCGGTGCAACCTGCTAAGGTTCTTAAATAGAAAACTTCATAACTAATTTGAATCATAAACTGAACTTGGCGCCTTTTTGCAGTAGACTTGAAATCTGCCTGTATAATTGGATTGAAATGAACTTTTTTAGTAAAGTGCTTTGAGCCATTTGCTGTGATATGAATGAACTGAATTGTATCTCTATGATCTCTCTCTGTTTGTTTGCCACCAGCGATATTTAAATCTCTTCATTTCTCAGGTAACGTAGTGGGAAGCTCGCTGCAGGAATCAGCTCAGCGGTTCTTTCAGCTGCCGTTTGAAGCTCAAACATGGCGAACCGTTGAGGCGAACGCGCCTGTTTGGATTCCTAATTCTGCAGCTTTAGTTCAGTGTGAAGATGAAATCATCATCTGATCCTCTGCAGGTTTACAAAACAGATAAATGCGACTTCAGATGAGCAAGACGCAGAAACTGTCAAAAAAACAAACGCACTCAAGAAAAAGTAGGGAAATTAAGTCACCAATAAATTACGCAAGTAAGAGTAATTTTTGCCTGTGAGCTGCAGGTAACTATAATTTCCTGAGGGAGTCTTCCCAAGGGATCAATAAAGTCAAGTCTAAGTCTAAGTCTAAAAAGTATTTGATTAAACTGATAATGAAATAGAGTAACTGCATATTCGTAACACCTGAAGTAACATTTATAAATGTAAGTTTATGTAAATTCTGGTATTTCAGAGACAAAATAATATAAAGAAACATTTTAAAAACTATGACAAAGGATTTAAATCAAATACAAGAATAAAATCATAAAATTAAGAGAACAAAGTTGAAATAAAGACATTATGTTTACTTTATTATTGTAATATTATGACTTTTCTTACAATAAAATTAAATTACAAGACTAAAGTCAAAGTATTATAAGAATATAGTTAAAATAAAATCAGAAGACAAGATATTTAGAGAATAAAGTCACTATAAGAATCACATTTTAAGAGATTTAAGTCATAATATTACAACTTTATCCTTGTATTATTTGGACTTTAATCTCTTACGACTTTATTTTAGAAATATTATGGCTTCATTATACTGTTAATTAAACTTTAGTAATTTTATGATTTCATTCTTGTAGGGCTGTTGTAAACAAATATTTTAGTAACTGAGTAATCTATCGATTATTCGAGTAATCAGATAAAAGAACATTTATGAAATGAAATATTTCATAACAGCAGTGTAACTATTAGATATCAAAATCAGTCCAATTTTTCATATTTGTTGTAATTTAGAAAATTAACCTGTAGCAATAATTAACCTGTTAAGACGGCCGAACAAACCGAATATATCGGATGCGCCTGCCGTTGGTTCAGACCGGGATGACGTCGTTAACTGTAAGCCTGGGCCGCCCGCCATGTTGAATCTGTTCCCCGCCTGTTCAACTCTCCGCTGCTCTTCCCGCCCGTCGCTCTGGACCAGCAGCTCCGGAGGGGAAAAGCTGCCGGACTCCCGGCAGTGGCCGTCATTTCAAGGCTGGATGTCAAAACCATGAAAACCCGGAATTATCACCACTCAGTAGAATCCCCACGGGACGTTATGCTGCTAGCACTTACTTCCGTCAGCAACTCAGAGGCGGAAGTGAGAGCTCCGCGCAACGCTGATAATGTTCCGGCCGGAACACGGCGCTAAATAATAAAACATAAACTAACGAAGCTCCGAGGCGGATCGTGGTACTGCAATCATTTGAGGAATCGTTCCAGCCCTGCAATCTTGTAATTTTTTATTTTACATTTTTAAAATATTTTTTATATTTACAAATATGCATATAATGATGAATGATATTTTGCTTATGTTCGCTTGACGTCCGAAAACCTCAGCAGACAGAAAACAGCATTGGAACAAAGATAGCCTATAAACAAGAGGTCTCACTTCTGCATGAACTGATGAAAACAAATTTTTTCCTTTAAAATTTGTTTTTTCTTCATCCGCCGAAGCTACTCATAGAATATCCAGAAACTTAAAGTACATTTTTCAAAAACAAAAAAAAGAAACAATTACTCAAGTGAATGTAATTGAGTAAATGGAACCAGTAACCACCAGATCCAGACCTGCTGCTTAAACTCCTTCCCTCCATCTACAGGCCATAGGCATCCAGTCTGACCGTTTCCCGCTCAGCGTGACTTCCCAGAATCCCCTGTGGCGTGAGAAGAGAAGCAGCTCTGGTTTCTGATTGCACCGCTTGGAGGTAAAGATCTGACACTGATCACTTCCTGCTGTGCTCTCACCTTCATCCTCCCCACTTTACTCTGCCTCCTCCATTTTCTCCTTCACAATGTTTTCGTTTTGAAGGTTGGACAAACTATAGACCTTCTAATGCATCAAAGTTCACACATTAAATCTGCAGTACGTAACTATATTGTGACGGTATAATACGAGACAGATAATCTCTGAAAAAAAATTATTCTCCTCCATATGCTCCTTGATTTACTGCTGAAGAAATGAACCAGAATCAACCAATCAGAGCCAAGAGGCGGGTCTTAATGCTGTCAATCAACCCTATGAACAGCAGAGGGATAAAATCACAAAATACTTCACGAAACATGTTGGAAAAGCAAATCAAACATAACATGAAATTAAATTAAAAGCCTGTGTGCAAAAAGATTTTAACTGCATTTTAAAATAATGTGTGGATGCAATGTGAAAAACAATGGGAAAGAATTCGGAGAGCAACAGCTTGAAACAACCAATCTCTTTTCTATGGTTTCCAGCATTTAAAATGTAATTTTCTATGGTTTTCATTTGATTTTGCGGGTGGAACAATCCCCAGTAAACGGACAGATTTTCCTCTCTTCTACTGCAGAGGATTAAAGATCATCAAGGTCCGAATCACTGTAAGGAATCCAGGTAAACAACCTCTGTCAGGTGCACCTCTGTCAATGTTTCCTGTTTTTCCTGCCAGTCATTTCTTTACAGTCAGAACTGCTCAAAACTTGTTACAGTAAAAATTGTTTAGTTTTTCCTGGGTTGTGATTTTCATTTTGTGCAGACGGAGCTATAGTGGAACGCTTTAGCTCAAAGCTGAATCGTGTTGAAGTGGCTTAGTCAAAGTCTGGACATGAATCAAAGTGAGAATATGTTGTAAAATTGTTATTTTGAAGAATCAGTGAAAAATTCAGTGTTTAGATTTGGAAAGTCCTTCAGCTTGAACTGCAGAAAAATATTTTTGAAAAAGTTTCTCTCAGGAAGGTTGAATATAAATGCACACCACACTTTTCAGTTCTTCCCTTGTGAAATTGCTATGAAAGTTGATTTTTACACACTTTTAGCTGCAAACAGACGCATTTACAAATCCAGGAAGGATTTCTATTGGAGTTTCTCTTTCTCTCTAAATGTCAGGTTTTAATCTGTATTTCCTCATAAATCATGTGGTTTCCTGTGTCAGGTTGTGGTTGGTATGCACACAGGTGTCTCCTCTGGCGGCGAAGGGCGACCAGAATACAAATACTTCTTAATTAAGGGCTAATTTCCCGCTCCATTGATTCCAGCTCCCACGTTGCTGCGCCGCTCCGCTCGGAGGATCAATGAGCACACAGGCTGAACCCCCAAAGTACATACATGTGGATCTGGCTGCAGGCGTTTCTTTTTATTATTATTATTATTTCTCTCCTGAAACCAGGATTTTTTTAGGTTTCATGGATTTGTTGTGGAGGTGAGTCAGAAAGGAGGACGGTTACAGAAACTCAGGATATCAATGAGGAGCGAAGACGCCTCGGGTTTATCAGCGGCTCGATGGTAACGGATCATAAATGCTTCATTATATTTACATCTGAGTTTCAAATTCTAATAAATAATAAATAAAGACAAAGATGATGGAAACAGGTGTAAATAGGTTCAAACAACAACAGAGTTTTAGGGGCATACTAAACAAATTAAACAATTAAGAAACAAATTATGAGAATAAACTCATCTATATGACCGTGGCTGAGATGATTGACACCAAATTTGTTTGATGTGAAGAAGGTCGGAGGTTGACCTTTAACGACCTCTGCAAACATTCATTAATATCTTCACAGTGATTGCGGCACATTGGAAAGTTTTTGCTGCATAACCTTTGAAATAAAAGGCGGCACAAAAAATATTTTGCGGCACAAACCGGCACAAACGTAGTCGGGTTTTATGACACCTGCTCAGGTCTCATTCTGTTTTGAAGAATGAGGGGGTTGGGAGGGCTGTTGACCTTTCATGACCTCTGGAAACATTAATTTATATTAAAACGAGTGCAGCACAAACTAAAATTTGTGCTGCAGAAATATAGCAGAAATGCTTAACAACAATTTAGCTAGATTTGGTTAAAGTGGGAGTCTGGTTGACCTTTTGACCTTTAAACTTTCAACCATGTCTTTGAAACAAGCAGCACAAACTGATTTTTGCTGCACAAATGGATTGACGCCAAATTTGTTTGAAGATGGTGTGGAGTTGAGAGGTTAATAAAAGTTGTACATTAAATTTGTACAATGATTCACTTGCACTTTATAATATTGGATTTAATTTAGAAGTGAAGTAAAACTCTTCTGCTGGTTTTAAAGTAAAACATTTAATCACCAGAATCACTTCACAGTGGTGAAAGTTTGCAGGTTTATTAATCGTTGAGCTGCAGAACAGCGTCTCATCTCATCTTTATGTGTTTATGTGAAAATCCTTGAAAAACAACAGATGGAGATTATTCACAGGAAGGCGAAGCGTTGTCGGCGGGTCGGCGGCCTCTCGCCCACGTTCTGCGGCTCAAACGTTTCAAACACTTTCAGACTGAAATAACTGATGAAAAGTGGGATTCCCAAAGTTGGAGAATGACAAGTTTAGCTTTCAGTCCTGATTCTTCAGCGTCTAAGAACCAAAACAAGCCAAACTTCTCAATTTAAGCCGACGACCCTCTCAGGTCTCATTTATCACAGCTTGTTGTGCTGCAGCAGAGAAAGCAATTCTTTAAAACTTCCCCATCCTGGCAGGTTACAGCTCCATCACTTAGCGGCTGTCTGCCTGGACGCCAGGCCCCCCGCCTGCTGCACCAATCAGCCTGCTGTCCGTAACTGGATGCCACTCAGGGTGAAAGCGCCGCCTGGCTTTAGGAAAACACTCCATTTAACTCGCTTCGCTTCATGTTTACTCTGATTTTTAATCTGGGGCTTCAGCACAATCAGACCAAACAAATCAAACAGGATCTAAAATCCGTCTTTTCAGCCTGTTTATGCATCAAAAAAAGTCTGAGATTTACGGCTATTTGTTGACTTGGTGTTTATTCAATCATCTCAAAATGTTTGAGGTTTTATTGATTGATTCTAGTTTGATTATTATTTTGTTCTTTAGTCTCTTTCTTGTTCTTGCTTTAGTTTGGTCTTTCCTAGTGATTCTAGTTTATTATGTTTATTTGTTGGGTCTAATTTTATTATGTTCCTTATGTCTCGTCGTATTTTACTGTTAGATTCATTTATTAGACCCCTGTATGCTCTCGCTCGCCCCGTGCCACTTTCTCTCTTCTCACATCTCCAACCTGTTTCTATTAATTGGTCTAATTAGTCATTTGTTCTGTGTTGTGAGAATCCAGCTCCCCAGGATAAAAACTAAACGTTGATCCTATGTGATGTCCCACTGTCTGGTTTTCCTGGATTTCTGTTTTTTGTTCTCCTCTGGCTCTCTGTGCTCCCTTCTTCTTCTTTCCCGCCTCAGTCTTTCTGCTTTTGGCTCACCTTCAGTCAACATAAATCATGACAAAAATGAAATAAATAAGTTATCTAATTCCCTTTTTTCTGAACAATACAATACAATATTTATTCTTATTCTAACATTGAAACACTGTACAACAAAATTTGGGTGAAATCCCCAGATAAAGACAATGTTTCACTTGAAGAAACTGTCTACCAGATTTTACTACTGGCGGAGACGACAAAGAAGACGACAGTATTCACATGTGAATTTAATTGCGTTTCTTATTTAACTGGAACACCGCAGTTGTGATATTGCGTTTGCGCAGTATCACAATGAAAACCCAACTGAAATCAGCTTAAATAGACTGAAATATTTTAGATTTTTCTATATTTAGGCATCAAAAGAAAAGGTGAATAAAAGTCTAGTAATTATTTATGCATTTTGTTCGTCCAGCTGCAAACAGGAAGTGCTAATCCCATGAATATGATAAAGAAAACATCTTGTGTTTTGTTTTCTTGCTGGTAAGTCATTTAATGTTGCTTTCTTCAGGGTTTTATTTGTTCGTTTGTCACCTTAAGCCCAGGGGAAAGCTCCTCCATCGCTGGGGATGTTCAGTATCTGCGCCGGTGACACGCTTCCTGTCGAGGAATCTGCCCTGGAGTCACTTTCCTTTCATGTTTCTTATCATCTCCTACTTTTCCAG